ACTGTTCCTTTATACGGTACCTCATTCTGTTTATGTTTAGCCTCAGCCCAAACTTTGTCGCCATTACCAGCTGTTGTCTTAGCTCTCTCGAATAACACCTGTGATTGCTTTATGCCTCTCTCCCATGTCAATATGCCTTGCTTATTGCTGTTTCGGTTATTTCTTATTGTACTATTTCACTGTAGAGCCCCCAGCCCAGCTCAACCTGCCTTAGACAGCTCCTTTGTCCCACCCCCCATACACACGGAGACCGACTCAATCGGTGCCTCCAGTGATGCTATCTCTTTCATCGTTACCCAACGCTTAGGTTTACCTCCACTGTACTCATATCCTTCCATATCCTTGTCTGTATATAATGCCCTGAATCTATTCTACAATGCCTGGAAATCTGCCCCTTTTTTTCTCTGTACCCAACGCACTAGAAGACCAGTTCTTAAAGCCTTTAGCCTTATCCTTATTCTACTCCTCCTCTGTTCCTCTGGTGATGTAGAGGTTAACCCAGGCCTTGTAGCCCCCAGTATCACCCCTACTCCCCAGGTGTTATCATTTGTTGACTTCTGTAACCGTAAAAGCCTTGGTTTCTTGCACGTTAACATCAGAAGCCTCCTCCCTAAGTTTGAGTTATTCACTGCGTTAGCACACTCCGCCAACCCTGATGTTCTAGCAGTGTCTGAATCCTGGCTTAGGAAGGCCACCAAAAATTCAGAAATGTCCATCCCCAACTACAACATTTTCCGTCTCGATAGAACTGCCAAAGGGCTGCAATCTACTGTAGAGAGAGCCTGCAGAGCTCTATCATACTATCCAGGTCTGTGCCCAAACAGTTTGAGCTTCTACTTCTAACAATCCACCTTTCTAGAAATAAGTCTCTCACTGTTGCCGATTGCTACAGACCCCCCTCAGCCCCGAGCTGTACACCATATGTGAACTGATTGCCCCCCATCTATCCTCAGAGTTCGTACTGCTTGGTGACCTAAACTGGGATATGCTTAACACCCCGGCCAACCTACAATCTAAACTAGATGCCCTCAATCTCACACAAATGATCAACAAACCTACCAGGTACAACCCAAAATCTGTAAACATGGGCACCCTCATAGATATCATCCTGACAAATTTACCCTCTAAATACACCTCCGCTTTCTTCAACCAGGATCTCAGCGATCACTGCCTTATTGCCTGCGTCCGTAATGGGTCCGCAGGTCAAACGACCACCCCTCATCACTGTCAAACGCTCCCTAAAACACTTTAGCGAGCAGGCCTTTCTAATTGACCTGGCCTGGGTATCCTAGATGGATATTGACCTCATTCCGTCAGTAGAGGATGCCTGGTTGTTCTTTTAAAAGTGCTTTCCTCTCCATCTTAAATAAGCATGCCCCATTCAAAAAATTCAGAACTAAGAACAGATGCCCCTGGTTCTCCTCAGACTTGACTGCCCTTGACCAGCACAAAAACATCCTGTGGCGTACTGCATTAGCATCGAACAGCCCCGCGATATGCAACTTTTCAGGGAAGTCAGGAACCAATATACACAATCAGTTAGGAAAGCAAAGGCTAGCTTTTTCAAACAGAAATGTGCATCCTGTAGCACTAACTCCAAAAAGTTTTGGGACACTGTAAAGTCCATGGAGAATAAGAGCACCTCCTCCCAACTGCCCACTGCACTGAGGCTAGGAAACACTATCACCACCGATAAATCTACAATAATCGAGAATTTCAACAAGCATTTTGCTACGGCTGGCCATGCTTTCCACCTGGCTACCACTACCCCGGCCACCAGCTCTGCACCCTCCGCTGCAACTTGCCCATGCCCCCCCCCCCCCCACTTCTCCTTTACACAAATTCAGACAGCTGATGTTCTGAAAGAGCTGAAAAATCTGGACCTCTACAAATCAGCTGGGCTAGACAATCTGGACCCTTTCTTTCTAAAATTAGCTGCCGAAATTGTCGCAACCCTTATTACTAGCTTGTTCAACCTCTCTTTCGTAACCTCTGAGATCCCCAGAGACTGGAAAGCTGCCGCGGTCATCCCCCTCTTCAAAGGGGTTGACACTCTAGATCCAAATTGTTACAGACCAAAATCCATCCTGCCCTGCCTTTCGAAAGTTTTTGAAAGCCGAGTTAACAAACAGATCACCGACCTTTTCGAATCCCACCGTACCTTCTCCGCTATGCAATCTGGTTTCCGAGCTGGTCATGGGTGCACCTCAGCCACGCTCAAGGTCCTAAACAATATTATAACCGCGATCGATAAAAGACAGTACTGCGCAGCCGTCTTCATCGACCTGGCCAAGGCTTTCGACTCTGTCAACCAGTGCATTCTTATTGGCAGACTAAATAGCCTTGGTTTCTCAAATGACTGCCTCGCCTGGTTCACCAACTACTTCTCAGATAGAGTTCAATGTGTCAAATCGGAGGGCCTGTTGTCTGGACCTCTGGCAGTCTCTATGGGGGTGCCACAGGGTTCAATTCTCGGGCAGACTCTATTCTCTGTGTATATCAATGATGTCGCTCTTGCTGCTGGTGACGCTCAGATCCACCTCTATGCGGACGACACCATTTTGTTTACATCTGGCCCTTCATTGGACACTGTGTCAACAAATCTCCAAACGAGCTTCAACGCCATACAACACTCCTTCCATAGCCTCCAACTGCTCTTAAACACTAGTAAAACTAAATGCATGCTCTTCAACCGAACGCTGCTTGCACCCGCCCACCCGACTAGAATCACTACTCTCGGCGGGTCTGACCTAGAGTATGTGGCTACTACAAATACCTAGGTGTCTGGTTAGACTGTAAACTCTCCTTCCAGACTCACATTAAGCATCTCCAATAAAAAGTTAGATCTAGAATCGGCTTCCTATTTCGCAACAAAGCCTCCTTCACTCATGCTGCCAAACATGCCCTCGTAAAACTGACTATCCTACCGATCCTTGACTTTGGCGATGTCATTTACAAAATAGCCTCCAACACTCTACTCAGCAAATTGGATGTATTCTATCACAGTGCCATCCGTTTTGTCACCAAAGCCCCATATACTATCCACCATTGTGACCTGTACGCTCTTGTTGGCTGGCCCTCACTACATATTCGTCGCCAAACTCACTGGCTCCAGGTCATCTATAAATCACTGCTAGGCAAATCCCCGTCTTATCATAGCTCACTGGTCACCATAGCAACACCCACCCGTAGTCTGCGCTCCAGCAGGTATATCTCACTGGTCATCCCCAAAGCCAACACCTCCTTTGGCCGCCATTCCTTCCAGTTCTCTGCTGCCAATGACTGGAACGAACAGCAAAAATCTCTGAAGCTGGAGACTCTTATCTCCCTCACTAACTTTAAGTGTCAGTTGTCAGAGCAGCTTACCGATCACTGCACCTGCACACAGCCATTCTGAAATTAGCCCATCCAACTACCTCATCCCCATATTGTTATTTATTTTGCTAATTTGCACTCCAGTATCTATATTTGCACATCATCTTTTGCACATCTATCATTCCAGTGTTAATACGAAATTGTAACTATTTTGCACTATGGCCTATTTATTGCCTTACCTCCATCATTTACTACATTCGCACTCACTGTATATATATTTTCTGTTGTATTATTTACTTTATGTTTTGTTTACCCCATATGAAACTCTGTTGTTGTTTTTATCGCACTGCTTTGCTTTATCTTGGCCAGGTCGCAGTTGTAAATGAGAACTTGTTCTCAACTGGCTTACCTGGTTAAAAAAAGGTGGGAAAAAAAATAAAAATACCACGGGTATGACAAAACATTTATTTTTACTCCTCTAATTAATTTGGTAACCAGTTTATAATAGCAATAAGGCAACTCAGGGGTTTTTGGTATATGGCAATATACCACAGCTAAGGGCTGTATCCAGGCACTCCACGTTGCGTCGTCCCTAAGAACAGCCCATAGCCATGGTATACTGGCCATATACCACACCCCTCGTGCCTTATTGCTTAAAAGTAGCCTCCTTTTTCTTATCTTTTCTTCAACTGCATTGTTCAGACAACAAGGGGAGGTGAAATCCTCTTGTTGGAAACAACTGGATAACTTGGTTTCATGTACACGGAACAAAAATATTAACGCAACATGTAAAGAGTTGGTCCCATGTTTCATGAGCTGAAATAAAGGATTCCAGTAATTTTCCATACGCACTAAAAAACGTTTGTGCACAAATTAGTTTACATCCCTGTTAGTGAGCATTTCTCCTTTGCCAATATAATCCATCCACCTGACAGGTAAGGCATATCAATAAGCTGATTAAACAGCATGATCATTACACAGGTGCACCATGTGCTGAGGACAATAAAAGGCCATTCTAAAATGTGCGGTTTTGTCACACAACACAAGGCCACAGATTTCTCAAGTTTTGAAGGAGTGTGCAATTGGCATGCTGACTGCAGGAATGTCCACCAGAGCTGTTGCCAGAGAAGTGAATGTTAATTTCTCTACCATAAGCCACCTCCAACATCGTTTTAGAGAATTTGGCTGTATGTCCAACCGGCCTCACAACCGCAGACCACGTGTATGGTGCCGTGTGGGTGAGCGGTTTGCTGATGTCAACGTTTTGAACAGCGTGCCCCATGGTGGGGTTATGGTAGTAGTAATGATAATGTTGGTATATTACTCCATCTCTTCCCCTCAGGGTTGAAGGAGGGGGTTAGTAGTGCAGTAGTAATGATAATGTTGGTATATTACTCCATCTCTTCCCCTCAGGGTTGAAGGAGGGGGTTAGTAGTGCAGTAGTAACGATAATGTTGGTATATTACTCCATCTCTTCCCCTCAGGGTTGAAGGAGGGGGTTAGTAGTGCAGTAGTAATGATAATGTTGGTATATTACTCCATCTCTTCCCCTCAGGGTTGGAGGAGGGGGTTAGTAGTGCAGTAGTAATGATAATGTTGGTATATTACTCCATCTCTTCCCCTCAGGGTTGGAGGTGTATTGTAATACTGTAGTAATAACCATGTTATATGACTGTTTCTTTCAGGGCTAGAGGTGAGAATGTGTAATAGTAACGATAGTGTTATATTACTGGAGAGTGCCTGTAGTTATAGTAACAGTATTATGCCATCTGTTTCCCTCAGGGTTGGAGGTGAGAAGGTGCTCCTGCTCTCTGCGGCGGCCTGGGGGGCGATGACAGCCTTCACGCCCATCCTGGCCCACTTCTGCTCTCAGCCCATCTTCTCCATGACGCTGGCCCGCTTCCTTATGGGGCTGCTGCAAGGTCAGGGGTCACTGGGAACTGGGGGCTAATGAAAAGCTAGGCTGCATCTCAAATTACACTTTATGTTTTCCTAAATAGCGCACTAATTATGACTAGAGCCGCATAGGGAAGCTGGGATTATAACTGTGTGCCCAAACAGAGAGAGATGGTTTCAGGTGAACAGAGTCATTGAATGTACTGTACTACAATAGCAGTCAAATAGTTCATCTCTGTCCAGCCCTGAACGATCAAGCAAACATGGTCTTAACTACATAACCAAATAACTTACAGCTTTAGCTTTAAGTGTCCTCTGGGGTTGAAGTTCAGCTTGTTTGTGTAAAACGGTTTGTTTGTTTATGGAAGCTCCTCTGTCAGTGCATGAAGCATTAGTTTGTTGACTCCTCTGTAAACTGCAGGGGACAACGCTTTCATATTTGAGACAGTTCTGTTTTGTTAGCCATTTTCCACTTTATTTTGTTATTTACTAACGTTTACCACATGGCCTAAAGAAGAGAGAATAAAGAACAAAGAAAGTTGCTCCCAAATATTGAATGAATGAATCAATGTGTGTGACTTTCTTCACTATAGTCTAACAGAGCCGTGTGTGTGTGTACCTCCAGGTGTGCACTACCCGTCTCTGGCCAGCCTGTGTTCTCAGAAGGTGGTGGAGAGTGAGAGAGGATTCCTCATGAGCACTGTGGGCAGTGGCTCCTATCTGGGGTGAGTCTGGTTCTGCAGCACTTCCTGTTTAGACGCTGATTTAATGTCTGTTTTGTGTTTCCCCCACTAAGAGTTTAGGATAGGATTGGGGGAAGGTAAGCTGGTCCTAGATCTGCATCTTTGGGCAGATTCTACTGCTGCTGTTGATGAGGTCATGTGCTATGGAAGCCAGGGTCAGACGTTTATCATTGGAGTTTGGGAGGGATGACAATATGTCATAAACAGCTCATCAGGGAGCCACAGACGTCTCCAGTCAGGAGTTCTCCACAGATGTTCTTGTTTTGCCATTGTAGTAATAAACCATAAATACACAATGAGGTCCCCAGCTAAAGGTCTTTGAACTACCTTCTGTATCTGTGACCAGTGCTATTGTCTCCTGCAGAACACTGGTGATTGGGGGGGCTGGTTCCCTCATGTTGGACCTGTATGGTTGGGAGAGTGTGTTCTATGTGTCAGGCCTGCTCTCTGTCCTCTGGGCGTACTGCATGTGGAAATACCTGCTCAAAGGGGAAGGTAAGGAGTGTGTGTGTGTGTGTTCTGGGTGTGTGTTCTGGGTGTGTGTTCTGGGTGTGTGTTTATGTATCTATGTGTGATGATGAGAATATGCATATCTAACTGAAGGTTAACAAATGTTACATTTCACCGCTAGACTATTTTCTCCAAGTGGTGATATTTGATATCACTCAAATCAAATTGTATTTGTCACAACAACAGATGTAGAACAACAGTGAAATGCTTACAAATGCCCAACAATGCAGAGAGAAAAATATAGAAAAAAATTATAACACAAGGAATAAATCCACAATGAGTAACGATAATTTTGCTATATACACGGGGTTAGCCATCTATCCCTATCATTGTTATGAACTACCTCGAAGCACCACATTGAGCTCAGAATTTCCTCTCTGTCTCTGTCTGTCTCTGTCTGTCTGTCTGTCTGTCTGTGTCTGTGACTCTCTCTCTTTCTGTCTCTGTCTCTTACTCTCTTTCTGTCTCTGACTCTCTCTTTCTGTCTCTGATTCGCTCTCTTTCTGTCTCTGTCTCTGTCTCTCTGTCTGTCTCTGTCTCACTCTCTTTCTTTCTGTCTCTGTCTCTCTGTGTGTGTGTGTGTGTGTGTGTGTGTGTGTGTGTGTGTGTGTGTGTGTGTGTGTGTGTTCCAGGTCCTATCATCTCATTGGAGTCGCTGGGTAGTGGAGGGCCCCAGTCCAAACTGTCCAGGAGACACTGGCTGCGCCTCTTCAAACAACCTGCTGTCTGGTGAGATAAGGCCCAAACACAATGGGGGATCTGTGTGTGTCCCAGGCCCTGTGGTTCTGGATGAGGGTGTGTAATGTGTGTGTGTCTACACTACAGGTGCATGTGTTTCTGTCCTGCTTTGTGAGTCTCAGCCTGTGTATATGTGTCTGTGTTTCTTTCCTTGTGAATGTGTGTGTTTCTGTCTGTGTGTGTAGGTAAATGGACAGTCTAAACAGCTGAATGAGACAGAGATATAATAACGTCCTAGCCTGCACCTAACTGACTGAAATAGAGGTCTAGTCCATTGATTCAGTTCTGTAGTCTCTCCTCTGATCAGCTCAGTTCCCTGCAGATGTTTCCATCTCAAAGGCTTCATTCATATTCTCTGTGCCTCTCTATTGGCTGTTATTTATAGAACCCTATAGCAGGCCCTGCAACTGATCTGCCCTGTGTACAATAACAGGAATTGTCTGGCTCGTTGGTTTCATTTCCTGTAATGGCTCAACCACACTTTGATAGTTAAACTAACCACTAAACATAAGAGAAAATGTCGCCGGCTGTGTGTGGGTGAGGGTTGGTGTGAGCATGGATTAGTATCACGGACTGACAGTTATGTTCATGAGTGAGTAAAGGTCAGTGGAGAGAAAGACATTTAAACAGTCTGATAAAATATATAATATAAATGGACTATTGCTTGATTTTATGTTGAACAGGCACATGAATCAAACTGTAGTGGGGGCCTACACATGAGTCATTATAGGCAGTAATGACTCATGTATTCATTGAGTGTACAAAACATTAGGAACACCTTCCTAATATTGAGTTGCAGCCCATTTTGCCATTAGAACAGCCTCAATTCATCGGGGCATGGACTCTACAAGGTGTCGAAAGCGTTCCACAGGGATGCTGGCCCATGTTGACTCCAATGCTTCCCACAGTTGTGTCAAGTTGGCTGGATGTCCTTTGGGTGGTTGGCCATTCTTGATACACACAGGAAACTGTTGAGCATGAAAAACCCAGCAGCTTTGCAGTTCTTGACACACACAAACCGGATGCACCTGGCACATACTACCATACCCCATTCAAAGGCACTTAAATATTTTGTCTTGCCCGTTCACCCTCTGAATGGCACACATACACATGTCTCAATTGTCTCAAGGCTTAAAAATCGTTCTTTAACCTGTCTCCTCCCCTTCATCTACACTGATTTTAGCTTTCCCCTGGATTCCCCTGGTCAGTCTATGTCATGGAAAGAGCAGGTGTTCCTAATGTTTTGTACACTCAGAGTATATTGGGGCTTTAAAATGATGTAGCCTATGAGTCATAGAAGTGGTATACTTATTTATATATTTTAGTTTTCTCTCTTTCACTGTCTCTTTTCTGATTATCCTCCCTTCAGTGCTGTGATTATTACGCACCTTTGCACCGCCAGCACCTTCTTCACATTGTTATCATGGCTACCAACTTACTTCAAGGACACCTTCCCTGACGCCAAGGTAACTTAACAACCCCCCTCTATCCTACCCCTCTCACTCCTCTCCCAATCCATCCCCTCAGAAGACAAAACAAAACATACCATATTTCAGTTCAAGGCTGGAATGACAGAGAACAAACACGGAAGTGTACATAGAAAATGGATCAAAGCTAGTCAGACCCTGCATCTGATAGACCTGTGTAATACCAAAAGAGGGCGCTGTAGACATGGAGCAGACGTAAAACCCTGCTAGCTGAGGAACTCAGATATTCCCTAATGTCATCAACAGCATCAAATAATTACAAGAAAAGGATTTCAAAAGAAGTTGTAGAAAACATGTGTAAATCAAGTTGGGCCTTTGTCTCTAAATATTAATGATATTCCTATAATCACTTAAAAACCAATTGTCTTAATGTCATTCTCTGAGCTGTTATCAATGTTCTTGGTGTTAAATGTGATGGTGTTCTCCCCTCAGGGTTGGGTGTTTAATGTTATCCCATGGTTTGTGGCCATCCCCTCTTCCCTCTTCAGTGGCTGTCTCTCTGACCACCTCATCAGCCAAGGTACAGATCGGAACGCTGGTCTGACATCAGAAAACAAAATAAAAGTCTCTTTGTTTACTGAGATTCTAATCAGTCGGAGTTGGTACCCTTATATGATTGTCAAGGGTTTTAACTATTTATTTGTCCCACGTCATTCATTCTGTCTCTCTCTAGGGTATGACACTGCTGCTGTGAGGAAGCTCATGCAGGTACTGTAGTAGTTTGTTCCAGATTCAATGCACAAATTAGCATCACTAGTTAACTTCAGATTTGCTTGAAGGACCTGTTTAATGAAATTGGTGTGTGTCTGTCTGTTCCTCTTTGTGTCCTGGTCAGTTCTTCTCCATGGGTGTGTCCAGTGTGTTTACCCTCCTGCTGTGTGGCACCACCACCTTCCCCATGGCTGTGGCCTTTGTCTCTGCCACCCTGGGTCTCACCACCTTCAGCCACAGGTATTGATGCCCGTCCCCAAATACACCCCATAGCCACTAGACCTCTATCCCCTAGGGCCTGACTACAGTGCATTCGGAAGGTGTTCAGACCCCTTGACTTTTTCCACATTTTGTTACCTTACAGCCTTATTCTAAAAATGATTAAATCGTTTTTTTCTTCATCAATCTACACACAATACCCCATAATGACAAAGCAAAAACTGGTTTTTAGACATTTTTGCAAGTTTATATAAAAATATATATCACATTTACATAAGTATTCAGACCCTTTATTCTGTACTTTGTTGAAGCGCCTTTGGCAACGATTACAGCCTAGAGTCTTCTTGGGTATGAAGCTACAAGCTTTGCACACCTGTATTTGGGGAGTTTCTCCCATTCTTCTCTGCAGATTCTCTCACGCTCTGTCAGGTTGGATGGGGAGCGTCGCTGCACAGCTATTTTCAGGTCTCTCCAGAGATGTTAGATCGGGTTCAAGTCCGGGCTCTGGCTGGGCCACTCAAGGACATTCAAAGACTTGTCCCCAAGCCACTCCTGCGTTGTCTTGGCTGTGTGCTTAGGGTCGTTGTCCTGTTGGAAGGTGAACCTTCAGCCCAATTTGAGTTCCTGAGCGCTCTGGAGCAGGTTTTCATCAAGGATCTCTCTGTACTTTGCTCCGTTCATCTTTCCCTTGATCCTGACTAGTCTCCAAGTCCCTGCCGCTGAAAAACATCCCCACAGCATGATGCTGCCACCACCATGCTTCACCGTAGGGATGGTGCCAGCTTTCCTCCAGATGTGACACTTGGCATTCAGGCCAAAGAGTTAAATCTTGTTTTCATCAGACCAGAGAATCTTGTTTCTCATGGTCTGAGAGTCTTTAGGTGCCTTTTGGCAAAATCCAAGCGGGCTGTCATGTGCTTTTTACTAAGGAGTGGCTTCCATCTGGCCACTCTACCATAAAGACTTGATTGGTGGAGTGCTGCAGAGATGGTTGTCCTTCTGGAAGGTTCTCCCATCACCACAGAGGAACTCTGGAGGTCTGTCAGTGACCATCAGGTTCTTGGTGACCTCCCTGACAAAGGCCCTTCTCCCCTGATTGCTCAGTTTGGCTGGGTGGCGAGCTCTAGCAAGAGTATTGGTGGTTACAAATTTCTTCCATTTAAGAATGATGGAGGCCACTGTGTTCTTGGGGACCTTCAATGCTGCAGAAATGTTTTTGTACCCTTCCCCAGATCTGTGCCTCGACACAATCCTGTCTCGGAGCTCTACGGACAAATCCTTCGACCTCATGGCTTGTTTTTTGCTCTGACATGCACTGTCAACTGTGAGAAAATATATAGACAGGTGTTTGCCTTTCCAAATCATGTCCAATCAATGGAATTTTCCACAGATGGACTCCAATCAAGTTGTAGAAAAATCTCAAGTATGATCAATGGAAACAGGATGCACCTGAGCTCAATATCGAGTTTCATAGCAAAGGGTCTGTATACTTTTGTAAATAAGGTATTTCTGTATTTTATTTTTACTACGTTTGCAAATTTTTCTAAAAACCTGTTTTCGCTTTGTCATTATGGGGTATTATGTGTAGATTAATGGAAAAAAATAGTTTAATCCATTTTTAGAATAAGGCTGTAACGTAACAAAATGTGGAAAAAGTCAAGGGGTCTGAATACTTTCCGAATGCCCTTAAAGATGCAATATGCAGAAATCGCTCTGCCATTTCCTGGTTGCTAAAATTCTAATAGTTTGCCTATTTTCAGTTTATGTGACAAAACAAGCATTCGTGAAGAGAATCATTGTACCATCTAAATCGCTGTGAAATATATTTTCCATAACCAATAATATTGTTGTTTCAGCTGTTTGAAGCTGGTGTACAAAACCGAAAGTAAAAGACACAAAAATTTAACTGAAGAATGGGCAGCATAGAAATAGCGTGCGTAGAACAGATCGACCGCTTCCTATACTTGCTTTCAATGCAAATGACCGATCTATAACTCACATTTCTATGTGAATTTGGTCGGGTCGCCCAAAAAGTGACATAATGCAGTTTGAAGGATGTGACTGATAAATGTAGGATGTAGATACAGTGAGGGGAAAAAAGTATTTGATCCCCTGCTGATTTTGTACATTTGCCCACTGACAAAGAAATGATCAGTCTATAATTTTAATGGTAGGTCTATTTGAACAGTGAGAGACAGAATAACAACAAAAAATCCAGAAAAACGCATGTCAAAAATGTTATAAATTGATTTGCATTTTAATGAGGGAAATAAGTATTTGACCCCCTCTCAATCAAAAGATTTCTGGCTCCCAGGTGTCTTTTATACGGGTAACGAGCTGAGATTAGGAGCACACTCTTAAAGGGAGTGCTCCTAATCTCAGTTTGTTACCTGTATAAAAGACACCTGTCCACAGAAGCAATCAATCAATCAGATTCCAAACTCTCCACCATGGCCAAGACCAAAGAGCTCTCCAAGGATGTCAAGGACAAGATTGTAGACCTACACAAGGCTGGAATGGGCTACAAGACCATCACCAAGCAGCTTGGTGAGAAGGTGACAACAGTTGGTGCGATTATTCACAAATGGAAGAAACATAAAATAACTGTCAATCTCCCTCGGCCTGGGGCTCCATGCAAGATCTCACCTCGTGGAGTTGCAATGATCATGAGAACAGTGAGGAATCAGCCCAGAACTACACGGGAGGATCTTGTCAATGATCTCAAGGCAGCTAGGACCATAGTCACCAAGAAAACAATTGGTAACACACTACGCCGTGAAGGACTGAAATCCTGCAGCGCCCGCAAGGTCCCCCTGCTCAAGAAAGCACATATACAGGCCTGTCTGAAGTTGTCAATGAACATCTGAATGATTCAGAGGAGAACTGGGTGAAAGTGTTGTGGTCAGATGAGACCAAAATGGAGCTCTTTGGCATCAACTCAACTCGCCATGTTTGGAGGAGGAGGAATGCTGCCTATGACCCCAAGAACACCATCCCCACCGTCAAACATGGAGGTGGAAACATTATGCTTTGGGGGTGTTTTTCTGCTAAGGGGACAGGACAACTTCACCGCATCAAAGGGACGATGGACGGCGCCATGTACCGTCAAATCTTGGGTGAGAACCTCCTTCCCTCAGCCAGGGCATTGAAAATGGGTCGTGGATGGGTATTCCAGCATGACAATGACCCAAAACACACGGCCAAGGCAACAAAGGAGTGGCTCAAGAAGAAGCACATTAAGGTCCTGGAGTGGCCTAGCCAGTCTCCAGACCTTAATCCCATAGAAAATCTGTGGAGGGAGCTGAAGATTCGAGTTGCCAAACGTCAGCCTCGAAACCTTAATGACTTGGAGAAGATCTGCAAAGAGGAGTGGGACAAAATCCCTCCTGAGATGTGTGCAAACCTGGTGGCCAACTACAAGAAACGTCTGACCTCTGTGATTGCCAACAAGGGTTTTGCCACCAAGTACTAAATCTGTTTTGCAGAGGGGTCAAAAACGTATTTCCCTCATTTAAAATGCAAATCAATTTATAACATTTTTGAGATGCGTTTTTCTGGATTTTGTTGTTGTTATTCTGTCTCTCACTGTTCAAATAAACCTACCATTAAAATTATAGACTGATCATGTCTTTGTCAGTGGGAAAACGTACAAAATCAGCAGGGGATCAAATACTTTTTTCCCTCACTGTAATAACACAGAATAGATCATATAAACATAAGCACCCCTTCCACTTTATCTTTTTATGACTCTGGTCTGTTAGTTTTATAAGTTATGACTCAATATGAAGCAATACCTGAAGCAATTCAGGTAACATAAAGATTGGGTGTCTGAATAGCACCTTATATAGCCTCTTATCTGCTGTTGTATCTGTATTCCAGCGGTGTGTCTGTGAACGTTCAGGACCTGGCTCCGTCCTGTGCTGGGGCTCTGTTTGGTATGATACACCAGTAACGACTTTATCATCCTCTCAGCAGATTTCACTTTTGTGTATTCCTTCTAATTAATATTACAGTCCTGTCAGATAATAGAAATTAGTCATCTATTTTTCATTGCAGGTGTTATGAATACCTGTGGAGCTTTTTCAGGTAAGCATCTGTACTGAGGGACAATAAACTAAAGCTGAAGCCTCTGTGATGAATCTTTCACCAGCTGTTCCAGAACAAGTTGTTTTACCCTTTCATTAACTTCTGATACAAATAATTCATCTGGTTGTTCTAAAGGCAAAACGTTGTGTTTTTCTCTAACCAGTCTCATTGGCTCTCTGCATATTTCATACTGGAAAGATAAGAGTTTGTGTCAGATAAATCATTGAGGGAATAGAACATGACAGTCAGGGCTCCAGTTAGGCTTTTGGCATTTACTTATACCGCACACAGCTGGGAATGGGAGGCTGAACTGTCGTTCGGGGACATTGTGTTTGTGTCTGACTGGGGTTTAATGTGCTAAGTTGGAATGCCATTGTCAGAAATTGCTCAGTACGTGCGTGTGTGCATTGTGTTTGGTGTATTTTCCCTGCGTATCTGATCGTGTGTGTTTCTCCAGGTGTGCTGATGGTGTATTTCTCGGGATATCTGATCGAGGCTACAGGGTCGTGGGCATCGGTCTTTGCCCTCATCACCGTGGTGAACTTGGTGGGCCTGGTCACCTTCCTGGCCTTCGCTGAGGCCCGCCGGGTCGACATCGACTCTTCTAAGGGCCGCTACCACAACATCCACATCTAAGTTCACACGTTGGGATATGGGAACCACAGCTTGCTACCACAACAACCACCTATGAAATTGAAGGGCCAAAACGGGACCAGGGTCTGCACTATCCACATCTGAGTTCCTAAAATAGGACCAGAAACCACGTCTATCTACCATAGAAATGCACACCGGAGTCTTCACTATGGGACGAGAACAGAGAGAACCTTGGCCTGTTAAACGTATCAAAACATCCACATCAGAATTTGAGGAAGTGATAACAGTAGTGAATGAGTCAGCCCCAGAGCTGTTTGAAAGGCGGTATGTCAGGTCATAGTGCTACAACATATGCTTTTTATTGTTTAAAGAACCATTCCAGTCATGTTTTTGAATGTTTGATCTTCAGCCATCTGTGTGCGTGTTGGGCTGGGATTGTGGAGTAGTAGTCATGGAAACTGGTTCCACACCAAGGTCTGTGTTTATGTTGGAGGAACACGAGGAGAATGACAGATGTGTTTGAGTTGGTCTAGTCAGTTTGACAGTTTTAGACAGAGCAAGATGTGTGTGTTTGTGGGTGAGGAGGGAGGCTTAGCTCTGGTGAGACTATGGGGAATGTAGACTGAACAAGAAAGGGCTGTTTGGGGGGGGAGTATTAGTAGGTGCGTCTCAGTCCCTCCCCCCGCCTCAAACATGACTGTGTGAGTGACATCTAATTAGGAGGTGACTAATCACCCATTCACCCACTCTGATGTACTGTACAATTTACCTGATCGCCATGGTTACATGCTCGTCATCTTGTCAGCGCGCTTCACTGCATTTAGTTTAATCTCCAGAGCTTTTACAGAGAGACTATAGCCTCGACATACAGTTAGCTAGAAGGATTTGTTTTGGATTAAATTAAGAAGACCAAAGGTTGTTATTATTATTACATTTCTTATTTTTATTGTCATGAACATAATTGCATGACATGTTCAAATAGAAATACCTCTATACCTTTTTTATTTATTTAATTTATATTATGACTTACAGTATATATCAATTATGTTGTCAATCAAGAATGTATGTAGAAAGATGAGACTCAGTTGAGATTTTGTCATATTTGTGTGAGAGTGGGCACTTAAAGGAGACTTGGTCAATGCAGTTTCCCACAGCTGATGAGGCAATCAACTGTCATGCAGTAGACAGCGCCCTGTTTGTTATGGTTACTTCATAGTCTGGGCAGGATGTGACATCATTGGTGAGGAAATCCAACTGTGACAGGAAGTGAATGTATTACGGTGTATAGCTTTATCAGCCACAGAGGGATACTGACACAGTAGGCTACTAGTAGCTACTCAGTCTGAATCAAAGATACATATACTTATGATGAATGGCAAAGGTGCATAAAGATGGAGGAATTTGTGGTAAGTACATGGGGGCCATCTTTATGCACATTCGCTATTGTATCAGTCATTATTTATCAATTGTAGTAATGCAAGTGAAGGCAATTATTTCATTGATATTGTTTCATGTCACCAAATGTTTTACCAATTGCTGATCATTCTCTGACTGAATAAGAAAAAGAGTGGTCCATATTGTCTTAAGTTCATCTACTCTTTTCTTACCGTATCCAGTATAATGATTTGAATCATCTGTCTTGTTGTTGTTATTCTAGGCTCTTAAACTAAACCCATAGAAAGTTGTCTAAAGGCAGAATCTTAAAAAAGTAATGTGTACAAAGCCTGGGTGATGTTGGCATTGTGGGATTTGTAGTCTGGGGTATACTTGGAGGACCTATCAGTAAAGTTCATTGATGCCAGAATAAAGGCACCTGGGCAGCTGAATTCTGGAAAACTATGGCCTTGATTACAGTCCGGTCACGATAAGGTCAAACAGGATGGCATCAAATCAGAGTTCTGTTTTAGCACTTTTGATAGAAATGTTCTTGTTACTGAATACATAATCAGTGTTTACCTGTAGATACATATATGAAGTAAACTTGCATATATAGCTGCTTTATACCTTAGGGCTTAGCATACAAAAGGTAACGCACATATTAGTGACAGGTTACTGTACAAAAGGTAACACACATATTAGTGACAGGTTACTGTACAAAAGGTAACACACATATTAGTGACAGGTTACTGTACAAAAGGTAACACACATATTAGTGACAGGTTACTGTACAAAAGGTAACACACATATTATTGACAGGTTACTGTACAAAAGCTCTGCCCTATGTCTGACCAATTTGTAGTCTTATTGTTTTGTGTTTTACTTTTTTGTAAACTAAATACCCAAAATTTTAGAGTACAAAAGCTGTCTGAGACTACCTTATTCTAAAGCTCTTTCACTTCACTTGCCTTAGCTGATGATTGTTTTGAAATGCCTTCAGTGCTTGTCTGATTTTTGAAAAATCAGGGTTGATGTCCATCCAGTAGGAATTCAGTAAAATCAGTGAGTGAATTTAAATTCTAATTAAAGAATTGAAAAATGCCATCTCAATCAGGGTTTTTTATATTCTTGAAATTGAATTTAGATTCAGAATTGATCCCAACCCTGTGTCATATGCCGTCCTTTGTTTCGCTTATAATGTGCCGTTTTAGAAAACACAGGAACACAAGCGCAGCTGTGTAGTTCTGCCCATAGAATTAGAATTAAAATCATAGAAGTGTGACTCTATGCTTCTGCCCACCAACATGCCACCAAGCTTTGTGGCTTGCTGCAAAAGCGTACTAACGATTATTTTTGATAAGATAATAATGTAAGATATGTATTATATATAAATAACGATTGCAACATGTTTATGCAAAATAAAAGCAGTATTCTATTGCTTCAAAAATATTGTATTTGTAAGCTTATTTTATTGAACTTGAAATAAATAACTATTTTATCAACTTTAGTGAGTTGTTTGACAATTTTTTTCTTGCCATTTAGTTGTTTGTTTGACATGTACTTCCACCTGCTACCACAAAGGGGCAGCACTGTGCTAAGAATCAGACACAAAGTAGCTCATGGGGAAAAAGCAGTACAGTTATTGTTTTGCCTTTAGCAAGAAGAAATACCAATGTGTGTTTACTTATGTCTTTAAGACTGCACAGACTTGTACCTCCCCCAATCAGATTGTTCTTTCTGTTTTGTTGTATCATGGCCACTCCAAAGATGTTTCAGAAGGATTCTACTTTTTTTTATTTTTTTTATTTTTTACTTTCTTACTTACCATCCTTGTTGTAGATACTGCACATACACACAACCTTAGTAAAGCAATAGTAAAACAACAGGCAAGCAACATGCACCTTATAGTGGGCACCATGTGCTCTCAGACAACCATCACCAGATCTCTCTGTGCCTCAGCTGTGGAGTGGCTACTGGTGCAGGCAGGTCTCTCCCATTCACACTCCCCCTTCCCTCTCTTCAGGCCCAGACCTCCAGCCTCAGCCAGGCCAGCGGGATGTATGGGGTGGCACCATATGGCAGGACGCTGTGTGCCATGTTGGCTAGCTGGCACAGCCCCACGTGTGAACGGCCAGACGCCAGTCAACCCAACCCAACAACGCCACTCTCACGGGACCAAAGGCTCAGGTTACTATGGAGACTGGTGGCTTGTGGCCGTCACCGTGGCAATGGATGTGAGGGGGGAAAGGGGAGGGGTCAGAGACCAAGGATTGGATGGTTGTGGTTTAAGCCATTGAGTTCTGTAGTTAGAAGTCGATGGGCAACATAGAATTAATAATTTGATGATGGCTGGAGCAGGGAGTTGTGGGTTTGTAGGCAATGTAGTTGTTATGAATGTATAAAAGTCTTACACTGTTGATGACTTGATTTTCTTTTACACCTGCAACACAATCTGAAGACAAAAGACTACAGGTGCCATGTGGAAGGCAAACAGGAAATGCACTTTACACCATGTCTCAAATAGTCTTAAGACAGTTCCCTTTCCTCTGAGACCTCTGATCTAATTGGACCTGACAGTCTCTGTAGTTATGAAGAGGGGACAGGGGAGGGGTAGAGTGGAACACGGCCATCATTTTAAGAGTAGGAGGTGGGTCAGTCAGTCACTTGATGGGCTAGATGGGTAGATTCATATTGTCTCTAAATGGCAGCGTTAAAGCAGCTTACTCAGACATAATCATGATGAGTGGCCCACAAGAGGAACCTCCCCCACATCTTCTGGCCTTCAGTTGGCCTCTCTAGAGTAACCTACTAGCCTATAGGAGGGCCTCTCTAGAGTAACCTACTAGCCTATAGGAGGGCCTCTCTAGAGTAACCTACTAGCCTATAGGAGGGCCTCTCTAGAGTAACCTACTAGCCTATAGGAGGGCCTCTCTAGAGTAACCTACTAGCCTATAGGAGGGTCTCTCTAGAGTAACCTACTAGCCTATAGGAGGGTCTCTAGAGTAACCTACTAGCCTATAGGAGGGCCTCGCTAGAGTAACCTACTAGCCTATAGGAGGGTCTCTAGAGTAACCTACTAGCCTATAGGAGGGTCTCTCTAGAGTAACCTACTAGCCTATATGAGGGCCTCGCTAGAGTAACCTACTAGCCTATAGGAGGGTCTCTAGAGTAACCTACTAGCCTATAGGAGGGTCTCTAGAGTAACCTACTAGCCTATAGGAGGGTCTCTCTAGAGTAACCTACTAGCCTATAGGAGGGCCTCGCTAGAGTAACCTACTAGCCTATAGGAGGGTCTCTAGAGTAACATGCTAGCCTATAGGAAGGCCTCGCTAGAGTAACCTACTATAGGAGGGCCTCGCTAGTGTAACCTATTATAGAAGTGCCTCGCTAGAGTAACCTAATATAGGAGGGCCTCGTCACAGAGCCAGAGATACTTGTAAATGAAATAGCCCCATTAATTAGTAATTAACATCAAGTTAATGACAATGTCACCATGTCGCCGTCTCATCAGATGTCCTGCCTTTGTGGCAGAGGGCCTACTCTATTGTATCCCCCCTCTCTCTCTCTCTCTCTCTACCTCTCTCTCTCACTCTTTCACTCCTTCTCCTGATCCCCTGTTTGGAATGCTAATTAGCAGAACGCGAGTTAGCATCTTTGAAAGGGACAGGGAGTGTATTAAGACTAACTAATGGCATAAAGACCTAGTTAACGACCGGGCATTGTGTTGTGGAGGATTAATCATTCACTGGTAATAGAGCAGAAGGTCTTAGACGTCCAGAGGTCCTCTGAGACCCTTTGTATTGGAAGGCCATTGACATGGTTTAAACACTAATTGCGTTGTGCCTGTTAGCCTAGTGTTAGGGATTTCCTTCATTTTAGACGTTACAGCCTAATAGAACGAAAACATTTCCGGGATAGCCTACGTCAGAAATAATGTGGTTTCAGCACAGCGAGAAAGGGTGTATGAAATGATACCTTGTCTTGTCTTCTTGGTTGGCACAGTAGGCTATGCATTGTGTTGGTGAGTACATGAATAGGCTACAAAGATGCACAGCAAGATGTTTCACGTATCCTCTTGACCTCGTTACTGGTTACTGGGTGTGATTGATTGAATAAGGCCTTTAATTTATGTGCATAGCCTGCTCCATACTCTCTCTCAGTTGTTCTTAGTCGCCTCCTGTGTCTAAATCAGCCCACTGCCGCTTGTAATTTGTTGTAATTTGGCAGTATGGATGACAGCGTCTCTACTGTCCCTGTGAAGGGAGATGAAACATGAAGTTCACACTCTGAACACAGTGCTGTCCCTGTCCCTTTCTCTCTCTCTCTCTCTCTCTCTCTCTCTCTCTCTCTCTCTCTCTCTCTCTCTCTCTCTCTCTCTCTCTCTCTCCCTCTCTCCCTCACTCTGAACCAGTGGCGGTCGATGCCGTTTAAGATTAGGGAGGACAATTAATTTGTATGAGCATTGCCTTATTTCTATTACAGCTTATTGTATGACTGTCATTCTTCTGCCATTCACCCAGCTCAATGTAACATTGATAGGTTTAGGCTACTACAGTGGGGAGAACAAGTATTTGATACACTGTCGATTTTGCAGGTTTTCCTACTTACAAAGCATGTAGAGGTCTGTAATTTTTATCATAGGTACACTTCAACTGTGAGAGACGGAATCTAAAACAAAAATCCAGAAAATCACATTGTATGATTTTTAAGTAATTAATTTGCATTTTATTGCATGACATAAGTATTTGATACATCAGAAAAGCAGAACTTATTATTTGGTACAGAAACCTTTGTTTGCAATTACAGATATCATACGTTTCCTGTAGGTCTTGACCAGGTTTGCACACACTGCAGCAGGGATTTTGGCCCACTCCTCCATACAGACCTTCTCCAGATCCTTCAGGTTTTGGGGCTGTCTCTGGGCAATACAGACTATCAGCTCCCTCCAAAGATTTTCTATTGGGTTCAGGTCTGGAGACTGGCTAGGCCACTCCAGGACCTTGAGATGCTTCTTACGGAGCCACTCCTTAGTTGCCCTGGCTGTGTGTTTCAGGTCGTTGTCATGCTAGAAGACCCAGCCACGACCCATCTTCAATGCTCTTACTGAGGGAAGGAGGTTGTTGGCCAAGATCTCGTGATACATGGCCCCATCCATCCTCCTCTCAATACGGTGCAGTCGTCCTGTCCCCTTTGCAGAAAAGCATCCCCAAAGAATGATGTTTCCACCTCCATGCTTCACGGTTGGGATGGTGTTCTTGGGGTTGTACTCATCCTTCTTCTTCCTCCAAACACGGCGAGTGGAGTTTAGACCAAAAAGCTAAATTTTTGTCTCATCAGACCACATGACCTTCTCCCATTCCTCCTCTGGATCATCCAGATGGTCATTGGCTAAATTCAGATGGGCCTGGACATGCGCTGGCTTGAGCAGGGGGACCTTGCGTGCGCTGCAGGATTTTAATCCATGACGGCGTAGTGTGTTACTAATGGTTTTCTTTGAGACTGTGGTCCCAGCTCTCTTCAGGTCATTGACCAGGTCCTGCCGTGTAGTTCTGGGCTGATCCCTCACCTTCCTCATGATCATTGATGCCCCACGAGGTGAGATCTTGCATGGAGCCCCAGACCGAGGGTGATTGACCGTCATCTTGAACTTCTTCCATTTTCTAATAATTGCGCCAACAGTTGTTGCCTTCTCACCAAGCTGCTTGCCTATTGTCCTGTAGCCCATCCCAGCCTTGTGCAGGTCTACAATTTTATCCCCGATGTCCTTACACAGCTCTCTGGTCTTGGCCATTGTGGAGAGGTTGGAGTCTGTTTGATTGAGTGTGTGGACAGGTGTCTTTTATTCAGGTAACGAGTTCAAACAGGTGCAGTTAATACAGGTAATGAGTGGAGAACAGGAGGGCTTCTTAAAGAAAAACTAACAGGTCTGTGAGAGACGGAATTCTTACTGGTTGGTAGGTGATCAAATACTTATGTCATGCAATAAAATGCAAATTAATTACTTAAAAATCATACAATGTGATTTTCTGGATTTTTGTTTTAGATTCCGTCTCTCGCAGTTTAAGTGTACCTATGATAAATATTACAGACCTCTACATGCTTTGTAAGTAGGAAAACATGCAACATCGGCAGTGTATCAAATACTTGTTCTCCCCACTGTACATGATACTAACATTTTCCCTATACCCATCATAAGGTTGCTACAATGTAGGTGCACAGGTTCGAGAGACAAATTAGTGTAATCAAGGTGACAGACAGTGACACATTCAATACCGCCTTGCACACTCTTGCCTGCATCTAGCTGATCTAGGGTGTAATCATTAGTCCAAACAGTTGCAAACGAGAGTTTCTATTGGACAAATTCAGGTATGTTTATCCCCGCTTCGTTCTGTTTGAGAAACGTTTTTCAACAGAATCGGCAGAATGAATACACCCCTGATCACCCGCACACACAGTTCACTTT